AATTGAAATCTTCGAGACGTCCACTCGCACTCACCACTATTTCTCGTTCCGCCTCTCGATCCGAATCTGGTAATTATTAGAAATTGGTTGAAATTTCTAGAATTTTTTGTTTTCATTTGTACTAAACACCAATACACTAAGCCCAGCAAGCCCAGTGCATTTTTTGTATGGGTGAGTATATTGCCACTCCCTCAGAAGTGTAACCGATATCGGTATAGCGGTACCGGTACGAAGCCCGATCGGTATATCAGCATTAGTATGAAGTATAATCAGCCGGCAGATATTGCTGGTATTTTGCGGTATGATACGATTTTCTTCGAGAAACATTGTGTATATTCAGTTCGTCTGTGACATGCTACTTCCACCAACATTTCATTTCAATTACTTACACTTTGTCGGCTTATATAAACTTCTTAATTTCTTAAAAGATGAATTGGATTGCCGTTTTCGTAAAAAAAAAAGAGCGTGTGAAAAATCAGCTGTACATATATCACGAGCAGGCTATAAAATTCAGTTTGCAATCACCATTAGCTCTTTTCGAAAAACTGGATTGGGATGTAAACGAACACAAAACGAGATATATATCCAGATTGGGATATGAGTCATGCTTCTCTACTGACAGAAGCACTTGGATCTAGAAGAAAAATTCGGTCAAGTGTTGATTCATCGAACATGAGACATTGTTAAAAATCGCGTGAGATGGAGCGCTGATAACACCTGCCATAATCCCTTCCGTAATTTTAGGAATTTTCTGGTCTTTCCTAGTCAGTTCATTCCCTTTATTGTGTTATATTTTATTAAACTTTTATGTAGCGATAGAACCTTAAGGTCATCGATTAATGCAAACACAATAAATCTTAAGAGTATTCAACGACTGAGTTGTTCTGAATAAGGTGTATGAGATCGATATATCTAGATGATCAGGCGTTTCCATCGCGCATTCAGTCGCTTTCTGATAAAAATTTAATGCCACACTGTAGAGGTATCGATAATAGTAGATAGCCATGTTATTGCAGGTTTTCGCCACATTATTATTCTTGCCATTTCGAAGACGAATATTCGCTATTTGTTGATAACAATCTAAAAGATTTTTAGTAGGCAGTAGGAGTGTCAAGCGATAAACTTTCAAATTTGACATCAATCATCGGTTGCGGATTGTTAGGTTTATTAGCAATTCGTGTTATTTGACATCGCGAAGTGGCATTGTTGGCTAATAAAATTTGTTTGATTTCAGTGAAATCGTTGAACATGGCTACATCAAGTGGGCTAGGGCGGGTAGGATCATCTCCGTTTACATCAGCATTACATTCGGCAATTAAAAAAAGGGTCAATTCCATATTATTTCGAGCCACTACGTAATGCAAAGCAGCATCAACGTCGATGTCCTAAAAGAGAAGATGTATCGAGAGACATTCTAGCAAAGATAAGATATTAACTGTAATATCAAAATACGTAATATTTATTAGATAAATATAACAGCTGCAGGGTGATACATAGTTTTGTAAAATTAAACTAAACATGATCTTATAATCACCTGTGTATTAGCATGATCCATCCGCGTCTGGTGTATGTATCGTGCACAATTGATCGCTTGTTTATAGCATGCTAACATAAATGCAGTCATTTTCCCACGATTCGTTCTCACAATCAATGCTCGTTGACAATTTTTATGGGTACGATTGACTTCATTATCTGAAAGTACCTTAATCCTTGCATGGAATCGAACAGTCAGCGTCTTTAACATTTCAACATCGTCGCGTTCGACGGCATAATGAGCAGGCGTATATTCATCTTGATCTTGAGCACAAGGGTCACTGTCTCTCATACGTAATAGCCGAATATAAACGTACGAAAATGAGTGAATGATCGCAATATGTAGCAGTGTCTGTAAGTAGGGAAGGAACATGTAAAGAAAGCTTCAGAAATAAGCTGATACTTACCTGATCATGTTCGTCTCGCATGAGCACAACTTCTCGATAATGCGATTGTAATAATAGTTTTTTAATGGATTCAAAATCTCCATGAACAGCATAGACGAACAGTTGTCTATAAGTGAAAAATTAAAAAGGTATTATACATATTTTCAAAAGAGGTTTCCTGCAGAAATGTTGAACTGAGATCATTATTCACGTTTACACAGATTTTTCGCTTGAGCTAGGTAAACTATCTTGTTGTTTTAAAACTTTTCTAGAAAAGTGTGTAGAGAACTAATTAATCTATAGAACTTTTTCAGTTAATGAGCTTTCTTATTATTGTAAGTATTGAATAGTGAGTATATCCTGATATATCGAGGCGTTTAGCTCGATTTTGAGATTGCTAATGGATTTTTTAATTTTAATTAAAACTACCCAAAACAGGATTGTTTTGTACAATTTAAATTTTTACTAACTTTTCAAACTGTTTTCGACAAAGATACAAAGCCATGAAATAAATGGGCAGTCGCCAGCAGAACTGATTGATCGATTCAAACTATGCTGTCAAACTTTGAGATATGAAGTGGACGCCTGATCGTGATTTTGAAGCGAATACTCCGAGCTCTCTATCAAAATTTTTTTCAAGTTTTACCAAACTGAATTTCTTTGCTGGAAAGCGTCTTTTCAAAATCTGTATCTTCAAAGGATTGTCTGTAGAATGGCAGTAACTGGGGGTCTCCATCTGTATTATATCAAAAATTATTCAGAAAACAGTCGAGTTCATTACTTTTTCTAAACGAATACTTTACTTTACACTTTTATCCTAAAAATGTACAGTCTACTAGCGTTTTACTGGCTGCTAATTGCAATATGGATCCGGTCTGACTTGTATCATACTGACGTGGATTTCCGTCGGTTATTGGACTCCTTTGCGATAAGTTAGATGGTGTCTAGTCAACAAGTTCCTCTGTAGTCGGCTCGTCTACCTTTCTGGAATCTGACAGCACAAGTGGAGCTGTACTTTGAAGTTTGTACCGAAACCTTGCATTCACTAGCTGCAGTCGCTGATTCCGGTTTGGTAGCAGAATGAATGATTTTAAAATCGCCAATGATAAATATTGCATCGGACTGTAAACTCAGAAATGAGTCTGGGAAATAGCTACAGTCATCAAAATTCATTGAATTTGAGTCAAATTTTGAGAGCATACGACATCGACGATTTAATTTATTGTTTAAACAGCGTTGTGGCATAGAGGATGAACGATCATCATCTGAAGTGGGTTTTTGTTCCGTATCTCTATCCCCAAAATAATTATTTCAAACATGGTACAGTGCTTGATAGAACAGTGTATACTGTAGAGTATTCTTACATCTAAATGGTTTTTCGTCCGAAGGCTTCTATTACGACTTTCGTACAAAAATTT